GTAGACGGAATGCAAACACAACACAACGGCAGCAAAATCAGTTCAAGGAAATGAAACAATATTTAAATAAATCAAAATTAGCATCAGCCAGAGAAAGAACAGCAAAGGCACAGGCACAGAAAACAAAAGCATCCGAATCTACGAGTTACGAGTTACAGTAGAGACATCTGTATCTGTATCTGTGCGGTTGTGCGGTTGTGCCTGTGAATCGGAGCATGTTTTACATAATACAATTTCCATTTGCCGAAAATAAAACACACGACGACTCTGGCAACGTGCTAAACAGACTAACACAGCAGTTCCGAATCCCCGAGATGCGGATACATATGTAGATGGTGCTGTGCGGGGGATTGCTCGTCATTTTAAATACCGAATATATTTTGATTCCATTTTGGTCAAGGCCCAGGAAGCTTCATCTTCCTCAATGCGGTTGCCTGGCCACAGTCTGTTCTGGCTCAAATTGACATTGAGTTATGGGCCCAGTTTTACAGTATCTTTCCTTTAAATGATTTTCAAATTGTATTGCCCAGCCAGCAGCTAGCAGGCAGTTGTATAACAAACACATAAGCTGGCAGGAAATAAAGAGATGATTTATGTTTATTTCAGCTACCTACGCGCCAAAGACTTTAATAAATGCCATAAAAAATGGCCATATTTAATTGCTGGATGGCCAGTTGGGGGGAGGGGTAGGAAAAATGTTAATAAATGTCAAGACTATTTCCACTCAACTGACAAAATGAGCAACGAGCTTGAAGTTGACACTGACTGTCCACCGCAGACAACGTCATCAGCGAGCAGAGAATAAGATAACCCAGAAAGTGGGTGGCGATGCGGGTCCAGACTTTTTTTTTCGCCCCGCCATAATTTGACATAATTTATGAGTTTTCAATTTATCATCTCTGGGGATGCCATGGCATTATGGTATGGTACTCAGCCTGTGAAGCTGCACTTGCATCCGCAATTTGCCTCGCATTTTGGCCTGTCAAAGCCAAAGCCCGTTTCGAAATGTCAAATGTCAATGCTGAATACCCGAATCCGAACCCCAAATTGCATGTGAGGCACACATGTTCGGGCTCCCACATCGCATTAGCCCAGCCGTCTGAGCCTCTCTGCTGATCTCTGTGGGAAGAGGCTCCCCTTCACTTCCACCCCACTTTCTCTTTCGACGCCCATAAAATATTGCCACTTGTCATCGATGAAGATCCGTCCGTCCGTCTGTCCGTATGCCTGTCCGTCCGTCGCGCATGTTGTTCTTGTCATTAAAGTCGTAAGCACTGTCACGTAGCTGTCAATTTACAAAAATCGCATTAGCCAGAAGAGAAATCTACATGCTGGGAGCATAAATTCGGCAGAAGTACTTATGCTTGCAGAGAAAAAATAAATATGAAGAAATGTATAAAATTAAATTACATTAAAACTGAATAAGAGAAATTATTAAGTAATAAATAAGGGAAAATATAAATATTTTAAGTAAGAAAATTTTAATAAAGGATACAAATCATGAAAATAAGATTACTAAATTAAATTTGTCCATCAATAAATAAAATTGTTTTTTATCTTATATGTTAAAAATTCAGGATCTTTAAAAATTAGAGCACAGTTTATCCCAAAGACTTTGGGAGTCAAAATATATGGTATTTCTAAACCTAACAGATATCTTTCCCCCTTATTTTTTTCTCTGCATCTATGTGCTTATTATGTGCTAGATGGTATGCATTATGTATGTGCATATTTATGACAACTGTCGCTCCGCCGACTTGACTGCCGCTCACATCATTGGGAATTTAGGGCCCGGAGATTACCGAGTCGTAAAACCCGACACTCAACGGCGTGTACGGGTAACTTGGTAATGCTAAGTTGGCCGGGCAGATAAGAAGGCTCAGAAGGCGAGCACTTGGCGGGCTGCACATAATTAGCGGTGGCCACTTAACTAGCTTTCGCATTTTCCCTTTCCTCCTCCCCGAACGACTAAATGTCAACGTAAATTTGCATTTTTAAGACGCATAAAAAGGACTTTGCAGGAGGCACCCAAAAAAAAGCGAGAGGAAAAGCAGCAGAGGTAACAAAATGCAAAACACGCGCAACAGGAAGCAGGAAACAGGAGCGCGAGACTAGCCGCAGGACTTAAATGCTTTTAAGCTGCCAGTCTAAAGAAACAGGGAAAAGCGGTTAACGAATTGTCGGGGCCAAAAACACCGGCGACATGTGCATTTGGATGGATTTCCCGGCACTCCAGCACGTTAAACGGCTTTTCAAGAGCAACGCAATTGAAAGCAAAATCAATTACAACAAAAAAGGGCCTGAAAAGCATTTTAACGACAGCATTCAGTGCTCGCGCGAGCGGCTTTCATTCAATCATTTACATAAAATTTTATTTAACAAGCGAATTCCAAAGGCTTTCATTTTTAATGCGACCCCTTGGATCCCCCGCCTCCCAGATTTCCCAGGACTCTGTTTCCAGGACCCCAGCGATTCCTGCCACAATCCGTTGCTCGTGTGTGAGTGCGTTTCATGCGTGTGTGCATGAAACTTCATTATGAGAGAAGGGAGAGCTTCAATATTTCTGCAAATAAAATGCCAGTCGAAGGCAAATTGAAAACCCAGAATGGCAGAAGGCCGAGCCAAATATTAGCATACTTGGGGGCGCAGTCAAAGTTTGTTTGCCGAAACAAATTAACCTTGAATATGTGTCCCTGTCAAAACGAAGCTGAGCTGGGGAAATTATGCAAATATGCTCGGCACACCAAAACAACAATGGATGTCTCCGATAAGGCCGCACTATGGGTAATTTGACCACTTTTTTTGGCCAAAACCCACTTTTTAAAAGTCGTTAGAAATTAGTTTTGTTAATCACAATGTATTAGGATAACATGAATGTCAAATGTTATTAACAGAAAAGTTTAACAGTGCGCATCACTGTTAAGTTATCAGCAGTGAAAGCCTGCTAATGCTTCAACGAGATGGCAGCGCTGGTAAATCGCTTATTTTGATTATAAGTTTAAATAATCAAAAAGAGTATAATGAAATAACGCAGCGCCGTTTTTGAAATGCAGTTCAATCAGAAAATCATGTAACTTTTTTTTGTGAGCGTTCCGATGTATTTATTGATTGTGGTGTCCCTAAAATCTTGGGTAAAATCTAACCTCAAAAAACATTAAAATTGGTATTGAATTTTTATTTTTAAATGGAGCTACAAAGTGAGTCCAGCTCTTTCCAGCTCTGGAACCTTTTTTATCTTGTAGAGTACTTAATTCTCTTTAAACTCTGTAAGTATAAAAGTGCACTTTTGCGCACTTTCTCTGAAATAAATGTTTTAAGACCTCCATCAAAACATGAATAATTCACGTATTTTTGTATGGTGAATGTCAGTTACGGTGCAATCTTTGCAAAAGCGGTATGCAACTATCTTTGTTATTAAATATTAATTATTTAAAAATTATGTTACATCATTGTTTCATTGAAATAACTTTGTTATAAAGGTTTATTGTATTTTTGTTAGAAATTGTTATGGTAATAATTAAAAAAATAAAACTTCAATCCAAAAATACAAAACGGAAAACTTAGTTATATTTTTAAAAATTGAATACGTTGCTCTTTTTAAAATAAATTTAAAAAATATTTTTTTTTTCTTCACGTTAATGAAAAAAAAAATTTTTTTCTTAAAAAAAAGGCGGGACCACGCCTATTTTTCCAACAAAAATTCCTTTAAATTTAATATAGTAAAATCAAAAAACCGAATTGTTAAATATTGGGTCGTTTCCAAGTTATTAATTAATGCCACAAAAAGTGGTCAAATTACCCATAGTGGGCCGGTGGCCTGTCCTCCCCCGACTAACTGACTAACTGACTGACTGTCGTCCTGTGGCTTTGGCTTCTGCAGAAATTTATTAATTTTAACCAGAGACAGAAAGCCGGAGACTTTGACGTCAGGTTCGGCTTCAGCTAGCTGATAAGCAGCCACACGCTTGACAAAATCAATAATGGCAATACTGCTCTTGTTTCAGCTTCCCAGTTCTGTTCCTGCCGTTCCTGTTGGTATTTGCATGATTAATGAAGCCACGTAATTGATTACACGGCCACGCCCAGTCAGGGCTCAAAAAAAAAAAATGAAACAGAAGAATGGAAGAAACAAAGGCAAAGCCAAAGGCAATGGCAACAGCAACAGCAACTCGAACTTTCGCATGATTTTGTATCATCGAAGGCAGCAGCAAGGCACACAGCTGATTGATGCGTCTGTGGTCGGGACAAAGGCACCCACAATTCACATCCTCATCCACATAGCCCATCCGCATTCCACCCGACTTCACCATGCAGACCCATTTTCATCTCGATCTCCAGCATCATAATGCGACCACGCACGTGCGTGTGGCACATGACTACACGTAGGGAAAAGCAGACCCTCGAATTCCTAGGGTCACTCATCTACCTCTTATTAGAAAATGAAAAACTAATATTAATGCTTTTTTATCACACACCCAAAAAAAAAACCGAAAGTTTAAATTTAATAACGGTTGTGTTAATAATATACTACAGCTAGTATTAAACGGACAGTATTAATTTAATACTATATAATATAAACTCTATACTTTCTAGTTTCTTTTCTATACCAAAGAGTCTAGAAATTGAATTTGTGATATTATTTTTAAACCACGTACATTACATATTTCAGTTTAAAACTAATACTTTTGATTTCTAAAAGAAACTAGAAGCAGTATACAAAATTAAAGTATTAAATCCATACTAAATAATATAAAGCCTACACTCTGCAGTTCTAATTTAATGCTGATAAGTATAACTGTTATACTCTGTAGATTAAATTATATATCAGAGTTTCGATTATCATTCCTGGTGTGAAACTAGGAAAATAATGAATAATGAAAAACAAATCCTGGAGTGAAACTCGGAGCACATTAAAAAGGCGTTAAACGATTTCAGTGACAATATCAAAAACGCGTTATAGGATTTCAATGACGTTTAACGCATTAGTCGTTTGTTGTAGTCATCGTGTTTCTGCATTGTGCCGAGTGAAGAAAAAAAAGGACATACATACGTAAGTAAAATAAAATTGTTCTATTTCTAAATAGATTAAGAATTTCTAATTATTGAAAAAAGTTTGTGTGTTGTTCTCAAAAGTGATAAAGTACATGAATAAATAAGTGTGCTGTTCTTGTTGCCATGGTAATAAGTTATTGGCTCATGCGCATACATACACAAATGTTTCATGTATACACGTGACAATTGATTTACACATGCACATGCGCATGTGCACATACCTTGTTACCATGGCAACAAGAACTTATTATGTTCTTATTGTAAATGTTTTTTATTTTGACCAATACATTTACAGATTTAACGCTGTTTAATCCTTATTTATTTATTTCGCGTGCCAGTATTCACAATGTAAATTTTTCATACCTATTTTTTAACATTTAATATTTCAGCGATTACATAAAATAATGGACAAGTTGACCGAATTTATTGAGGAAAATAGCTTGGACCCAGTTTGCCTTCTAAATTTGATTGGTAAGTAATCCATGAAGAACTATAAAATATAGGTATTTTTCGAAAAATTAAGAACATTTTTTTTTAGACTGTGGCTATACTTATGAAAATTTGCAATTCATCGAAAATGATGATTTGAATTTCATATTTCCAAATCGGGAAGACACCGCTTTGCGGTCTGAGTTCAGGGCTAAGCTTTTCGAGTGGAAAGCTAAAAATGTGAGCATTTTTATAGACAAATTTAATTGTTTTACGGTCAACTTGCCTAATTACTTTTTTTTAGAAAAAAAACTTGCAAACTTTAAATCAGCCCAAGTCCGTCCCAACACAGAATGTAGAAGCAAATATGCAAAGTGGGCCGAATGTTTGTAAGGTAAATATATATCTTTTTAGCACAAATTCATTGCGCTGCTTTTGTAACTTGGGCCTCACCGAGTAGTTTTTATCCACCGTTGAATAAATAGTAGAATATTTTAATATTTGAAATTAATCTGAATGATATGTCTACATTCTGACTAAGTTAATTATTGTTAAATGAAAATTTGATTTTCTTATTTACAAAGCTTCTTATTAAAACTACTCGGTCCAACCTAAAAACCTCTTTAAATCATTTCACTAATTTTTTTATATTCTTATTTAATTATTAATGAAGAGTGCAGTTGATATTCTTCAGTCTACCAGTTGTGGAAAAAAAATTATAGAACTCTATAATTCGATTCATGTTTTGTCGGAGGAAAATAGGCGAAAAATTGTACATTTAATTTCCGAAAATTTTTACAATCCCCAAAACAACACCTATGCAAGTGTTAAATTGGCGGAAATTGAAAAGCTAGCCAACGAAATAGTAAACATATTTCCATCAGAAAAGATCGAAATTTACTTTATCGGGCGCAAGGCAGCAAAAAGAAGTAGCCCTGGTGGAATTTTGTTTAACAGGCTCCACAACCACTTCAAAAAAAGAAAGATGTCTCCAAAAACGGTGGTCTCAGAACCAGAAACCGCAGTCTTCGTAGCCAGCAGCGAAATAGTCGACTGCGTTCAAAAATTAAAGTTTTACGTTGGGACGGAAGACGACTCGATGGAACTGTGGACTGCAACTCATGAGTTCCGGAAGAACTTTATTAGCAATCCAGACAACAATTTCGCTGAAGTTATCAGTCAATTTCCTTTATTTAAGCAGGCCACAGGATTTAAGTTTGTAAGCTTGAAGCCCCATTTTGGGATCTATGTGTTTGTGATGTTTTGTTATGCTATTATATGTTTAAAACCATTTTGTATTGTTTTTTAAATTGCATTTTATATATACTTCTAGTTGGAACACGACTTCAATAAGTTACACCCCAATCGCCAATTTGGATTGACTACAAAGTGGGAGGACACCGTACCTAAACTGATGTCCTACTATAATATTTATTTAAAGGACAACTTTTACAAAAAACTCTTTAAGTCTTTGGACGATTCTGTTTGTCCAAGTAAGTTTTTTTTTAATGTTCTTCTGCTTTAAATTTAAAAACTGCATTTTTATATTAGGCTCAAAAGACTGCATACTGTTTATGTGTTTGCACGCTGTTATAAAGCCATCTCACCGCTTTACCGTCACCCATGGGAATGTGAAGTCCTTTCGCAAGGCAACAATAGAGGACAGCGTCTGCAGCACAGTATTACAAGTCTCGGAAGTAAATGACTTGCAAAATCACTTGGAACAGTTGAACAACAAGAACGTCGAGTCTAATACGCCGATTCAACCGTTCGTCATCGTTGTCGGCACAGAGCTTACAAACTTAACTGAGTTTTATGTTAGCTTTGGAGAACACCTTTATAAGTTTAGCTCGTTTGTACTGGCACTTGATATATGCTTTAAAGTGTATCAGGTATTTGGCCTAAAATACCCCAACGAGTCGCACAAGGTGTGGAGTTTTTTACAGGAGTTTATGTATAACATAAGTACACCATTTGATATCAAACATTCGAATGTCGTTAATGTCATCGAAGACTTACAAAAAATGTAAATAATTTGGTATAATATTTTAGTCTTAATATATATATTTACTCATAGCATTAGTTAGTTTTAAGATCTTTAATATCCATAATCATTTTAGTCTTAATTCATCATTTTTCATTTTCATTTTAATTTTTCTACAAATAATCCAAAGCAAAATGCATTGCTTTAAATGTTTTAGGGAATTTTCCAGCCTCATTACCTTATGCTTACATTTTAAGCATCATCACAATTTAAAAGAAACAGATAAATATAAATGTATCGAATTCAATTGCGACCAAAGGTTTTCTTCTTTTAGAATATTTAAAGCTCACCTTAAGAGGCATATAAATCTTAAATCAGTACAAGTCTCCAAAGACGCACAAGGTTCAGATTGCAATAATGCATTACAGATCTGCAGCACTGAAAGTAATTCTTTTGACGACCCTCCGACTTGTTCTCAAGTTGAAATCACTACAGAATCTTCTTCGGACTTATCATTTGGACAAATAATTAAAAGTTTTGAATCAAAAATTTTAGAAGTCTGCCAGCAAGCCATAACTAAATTGCATGCAAAAGATAATTTTTGCAGAAAAGACGTTTTATTTGTTCAGAACATCTTTGAGGAGGTTAATACAACCATTGTAGACTCATTTAAAGACTTGTTTTTAGATAAAATTTCATCCGAAACTCGCCCTCATGCCAAATCGTTTTTAGACTTCTGCTGCATGCCATTTAAAAGCGTTGAAACTGAACACCTGTTTTTAAAAAAACTAAGTAGTGACAGATATTTTGAAATGCCCACAGTTTTTAATGTAAGCAATGAATTGCAAGAAACGCATCAAAATTACAAGCCGACTATTGCACCATCGAATATAAAGGGGTGCATTATGCCAATTATATTTCAAATAAAAACATTCTTTGAACTGCCCGGTATTTTAAAATCAACTATGGACTTGATGAAAAAATATGAGGGAAACTTCAATCTAAGCCATTATGTAAATGGAACTTCTTTCAAAGGAAAAGTTTCCAACTTTGAAAAAAAATACGTTATTCCAATTTTCTTATATTTGGATGGTTTCGAAGTGAACAATCCCTTAGGTAGCCATGCAGGCGTTGACAATATATGTGGGGTATATTACACATTTCCTGTGCTTCCTCAGCATCTACTTTCCAAATTGGATTTTGTATTTGTTGCTGCCTATTTTAAAAGCAAACACGCAAAAAAATATGGCAGTGACCCCTTCCTTAAACCTTTAGTTGACGTTTTTAAAAGTCTGGAAGAAACTGGAGTAGAAATAAGTTCAAACGAGGGTCCGATTAAAGTTTACTTCATACTTTCCAATATTCTTGGGGACAATTTGGGCCAAAACGAAGTTCTTGGTTTTACGACGTCTTTTAAAGCCACATTTTATTGTCGGTTTTGTACACTTTCTAAGGAAAATACTGCCAAGGAAGGTGTTGCTTTACAAAAGGATTTAAGAACTAAGGAGAATTATGAGAATGCTTTGGCTTTAAACGATTTAAAAGCAACAGGCATAAAATCCAGCTGCATATTTAATGATCTAAAATATTTTCATGTGACGGATAACTTTATTGCAGACATTATGCATGATATTTATGAAGGTGTCTGCCGATACAGTATCTGCGAGGTTCTTTTGCACTTAATTTTGAAGGAAAAATTATTTAGTTTAAATACCTTTAATTGTAGAAAAAATCTTTTCGATTATGGAGAGTCAGATTTAGGAAATAAATCAATACATTTCGAGCTTTATCAACTTAAAAATATTTCGATTAAAACTTCCGCATCGGAAATGAAAACGCTTGTTCATTTCTTTACCTTAATTATTGGTGACTTTGTGCCAGTTGGAAATAAGGTTTGGCATTACTTGACCAATTTAATCAAAATTATTGACATTCTTCTTTTAAGCGAATTTGACTCAAGCTCCATTAATATATTAACAAATTTGATTAAGGAGCTTAATGAAGGATATGTAAAATTATTTGAGAAGCCACTTAAGCCCAAATTTCATTTTTTAACGCATTACCCAGAAATAATTCGAAGAAGTGGTCCCCCCAAACACTTCTGGAATTTTAGATTTGAGGCGAAACATAAAGAGGCCAAAATATATTCCAGAAATGTAATGTGTAGGAAGAACATTACGTACTCCCTGAGTATAAAATCGGGCATTAAATATTCCCTATTTTTAGATAAAAATAAAGAAGGATTTCCCAAAAATTTTGTAATATTAAAGGAAACTCCTTGTGAAATAAATGCAGCAGACTTTTCAAGTATACTCAGTAATTTTCAAAATAGTTTTAAAAACATTATTATTAATAGTTTAAATTATAAAGGAGTTGTATATAAAACAGGTTTTTGTTTAACATTAAAAAAAATTGGGGAGGGTTTAAAGTTACATGAAATAAGGTACATTCTAATAACCAATGAAGAAGATATATTTATATTAAGTTATCAACATGATCTGATAGAATTCGACGACCATTATCAATCGTATAAACTTGGCAAAAAAGAAAATTCCCTAAAAATTAATAATATAAATATATTTAAAGGACCACCAGTCCAATATTATAATAAATCAACTGTTAGTTATGTAAGAATTAAATCATTTTAAATATATTTGTTAGATTACATAAATGTATATAATTTAAAATAAACCAAAAATAAAAATTCTGTGTACTTTTATTGGGGGTTGTTCCTAAACTACAATCAGTTTAAATTGTATACCACAGTTCTTAGGAACTAGTATGAATGTTGTACGCAATAGTATGAAGAGTATACTAAGAGTAGTTTCACTTGTATACCACAGTTCACTAACGTAGTGTGGTTTCTAACCGAATTAGTATAACATGTATAATAAATAGTATTGCAGTTATACTAAATAGTATCAAAAATAAACTATGAGCCTCAATGCGACTGCACCTAGTGAGTATAAATTTTATACTCGGGGGTCTCAATTTAATACTATCGAAAGTTTCAATTTAATACTTTCGAAATTATATAGTTAATACTCATCTTATTGATGCAAATTAGAAACTCAATAGTGTAGAATTCATGTAACAATAGTTTCGTTTCTATGACTATTTTTTTTGGGTGCACCTACTTCTTAATTAATAAGAAAAAGAAAGAAATCACTTAGATTTTAAAATTATTTAAGAAGCATGCAATACAAATTTCATAGTGTGTCACTAAACCTTAACTAAGTTCTCAGCCACTTCTTAATTATTATAAAAAAGAAAGAGATCACTTTGGTTTTAAAATCATTCAAAAAGGTGCCTAAAAGCATGCAATAAAAAAATGTTGTACAAAAATTATTTTTTATTGCATACTTTTAGACACCATTACATCTACTTTTAAGACGTAAATAGGAAAATACATAAATAATATTTAAAGTCTCTCTTGTTCCTATTACTATTTAATCAAAAATCACTTGTTTTGGCCTAACTTTTTTATTGTGTACCCCGGCTGATCCAAAACCCTGTTTCGAGCCATGTCAGAAAGACATGAGGAGTGGGAGCGGCAGAGCCCGGGCCAAAGGCTGTCATTGACTGCGGATTGGCGTTGTCAACGATGCAGCGAGCTTGTGACAAAGATGATGATGCAGCCGCTCTCAAAAGCTGCAGCAGACATCCAGGGGGAGCGATGGGTGGTTTGGGGCGGAAGTCGGGCATTCTCATGGCTGGTTATTTATGCGTAATTTCTATGCACACACGCAGAGGCTCTTCGGCTCATCGTCCTGGCATCCTGACATCCTGGCGAGGGAATGGTGATGTGGATGGAGATGGGCATCCTGGAAGGCGGCCACTTCAGTTTTAGTCCCGAGCTCATCGCCCGCCCCAAGTGGTTAGTGGTTAGCTTTGTTGGCCCGCCTTCGCCGGAGCTTTAAGGCCCTGCTGCTCATACAGGCGCACAATCATCAATCAAAATCAAAAGCCAAAGTACTTTTGACATTAATTTATTCAAAGGGGATACAAGCACTTTTCGAGCTGCACAAACGCACCGCAGAAAGGGGGAAGTTTGCAAATTGGAGGTCCTCACTCTGCAGTTATGACCACTTGGCCATAATAGTTATTTAATTTCGAATGGATGGCATGCAAATTCCTCTTCATATTTGGCCAAATATAAAAATATTCTAATTAATATTTATGAACGCAGCGACGAGGCGCTTTGCATAAATCACAAGCATTTGAATAATAAATACGAATTATGCATTTAATTAAGATTTGCCACAAAAATCCAGTGGGTGGTGAAAACCGGGGGTAAACAAAAATCCAGCGAATCCATTTCCATTTTTCCTCTTGTCTTTTTGCCTCTTTGCATGTGTGTTTGTTCGTTTTTGGGGCTAGCGAGATTTTGATTTCCTCAGCTTGCATCGGTATCACTCAAAGCGAAACGGGCGACAGTCGCACAAAAAACCAAATCGAACGAACGCCGGGCGTTTTCAATCTAAATGCAAATGCTTGCGGTGTGCTTTTTGTTTCATCCTTGAGCCGCGACAACAGCAGCAGCAGGAACAGCAGCAACATCGAAAGCAGCAACAGCAAAATCCACAGCAATTCAGGTGAAATCGCAACACAGAAAGCCAATTAAGCGACTCAGACATTAATCGAAGCTCGTTGCAGATATCGCGAGAATCGGGGAGCATCGAATCTCCTATAAAAAAGCAAGGTAAAGGCAATTCGCCGTGCTTAATGCAGAAATCGCATTTGGTCAACAGTATTCAGCATCCTGGCAATTGTCCTTTTTTCCGTCATTTCTCCACACAGCGATTTTAGTTAAATTTTTTTGGATTTTTTCTTGTATTTTTTTTAAAGGTGTCTTTAAGGTTTTTAAACGATAATCTTACGTATTTATTTCTACATTTATATTAAATTTTATGTACAATTTTTTTTTAGGTAATCTAATCTAAAAAATCTAATTAATCTACCTTTTGTAATTAATTATTCGTGCTATCTATCTTAATTATCTTATTATTTATTTCATAAAATACCATTTATATTCAAATTTATTTCCACAGTCTTTATTGGGATGCGATAAAAATCGAATAAGATTAATATTTTCTATTTAATTATTCGTACTATCTTTGTTAAAATTCATTAAAGAGTATGCCCTAATAAATTAGTTTGAAATATTTTTATTAAATCTAAATATTTTATTTGAAAACCATGTTTCTTATAAAATATTAGTATATAAAAATTCCGTGGAACAATAAGTTCCAATCTTATTTGAATTCAATGACTATTAATTTCCTTTGGTGTATTCCATTTGAGGATACAGCTACCAGATACCAATGCAACTGGATGGCCATGTTAATACCTATTTCCAATTCAATTGGAAATGTTCATGTTGGCTCCATGGTTTCTATTGCATTAAGGGCCAATAAAAATTTACAAGCAACCTACACGAGAATCGAGAATCTCCCACCGGGGAGGGCTTTTCCTCTGCTTTTCCTCTGCTTAAGTGTGTTTGACATGAGATAAGCTCGTTTTTCCCGGTTCGCCTCATTTGCTTCGTTTACAGCAGGCGAGCAGGCTAAATTGATAAATTATGGCATAGACTCGGACTCCGCAGACTAGGAATTGCCGGCAATTAGCTGGGCAAAACGAACAATTAGCATTATGTGATAAGAGGTACCAACAACATTATAAGTTATAACATATCTATCCAGACAACCGAGACACTTGAACGAATTCCATCTGCAATTGAGACGTGTAAGGTCAACGAAAGTCTGCCGACTCGGGAATTCTTTACCCATCAATGCGATATCGATGCGAATGCGTATGCAAATCACGGCCAACACTTTGGGGGCATTAGAATTACAAATATATCCAGAGAGCGATTTTACACAAGGGCGACGATTCCTCGAAAGCCGCGACGTGACAGCACGCAAATAAAATGGAAGCCTACAGAAGATATTCACAGCTCGTGAAAAAAGATACAAAGTAAATATGCAGAGTCGAGGAAAATACATAAATCAGCGCGGTTAAAAAATGTAAAATTAAATGCAAACAGTGGCGAAAACCAAGATGCGGAAGCATAATTGAACTTTGAAGCTGAAGCTGGAGGAGCTCCTCTGCTCTCTACTCTCCACTCTCATTAAAGCCAAATGCAATTTACGCCGATAATTTGCAATAATTTGCATACTACGTGCTGCATTTTCCGCTGCACCTGCAACGCTTTTCCCATGGATTTTTCACCCACCCACGTGGCACTCTACGTGCTCCAGCTTTTTAATTGCACGGCTTAGCCGAGCCGAGGCGCGTTGGCATTTTGTAAATTTTCGTTAATTGGAAAATGTGCCAGGATTCATTTTCATCTATTTCCCAAATGCCCCAACGCCATGCGTGATCCTTGTGGAAATTTAACCCGGTGGCCAAGGCTAAAAATGGATTTATTTTGGTCCCGGCTTAATGGAATTTCCAAATGGTTATCGCCTTCAGCGATCCCAGTCGATTATCCTTGCATGCAGGAGTCGAGGATTCGAGGCGAGTCTCTTCATTATGCACAAGTCTCTCGGTGAACATTTTCGTAGCTGCCTGATTGTATTTACCCATAATATTTATCCATTTTCAAAAGCTCTCGGGGAAAAGCCGAGAGGAGTGCAATTGTTCCAGCTAAAGGATTTATTATGCATAAAATTGCTGCAGAAAGTCAAATAAAATATGTATTGAAAGTTTTATTGTTTGGCAGCATATTTCCCTCGCTTTTCCCTTTTTCACTCCCCCTTTTCATATATTTGCACATGGCACACATTTCCACTTTTCATGTGGAACTGCCGCTTGTGACGCTCCCGGCATTTTGTTTAAAAATTGAATTCTTTTTTATGCATTTACCTAAATTTCGTTTTTTGTTGCTCCCCCGAAAACTTTATGTACGCAGTTTTTTTCATCGCCCCGTTTCGCCTCGCTTTGTTCATATTTTCAACTTTGTGCGGGTGTTTTCGGCTGCCTTTTTATATTTCTATTTGCGCTCGTGTGTTCTGCCGGATTTCTATTTGCTTTAATAGACCAAACTCTGGACAGGCCAGCACACATATAGTATGTATATATAGTATGCCAACACTGGCTCAGGATCCTGGGATCCCGGGATCCTGGAGGAGGGACGTTGGCTTTGCAAATATCCTGCGGCGGTGGCGTTTATACATATGAGAGCTTACTGCGCCCTCTGTCGGGCGGAAGGGGAGGCACAGTGGATTTTGTGATTTGCTTTTTATGTGTGCCATATGGACCAATGCTACCACTACCTATAGGAATACAGAGGAGAATGGGGCCACGCACATGGGGCCTTGTTTTGGCTGTAAGGCGCCAAGAGGCGCTTAGCGAAATTCATGCAAAGATTTGACCGGATTCGGATTGTTGCCAAGGTTGCCGTTCCCAAAATACAAATATGCGGATAAAAGAATGTTCGGTAAGTGAAGAGGATTTTGTCAATGGATTCCACGCTTTTAATAACTGGGTTTAACAAGTATTTTTATTTGGATTTTTATTTTGATAGGAAACCATTTAGGATAAATTTGAGAAATTTTAACATTTTAGTATGGACAAATTGATAAAATTTAAAGCTTAAATTAAAACAATAATTATTTTCAGTTGCAATTTAAATTTACAAAAAAGGTTGAAATATATAGAGCCACTAATTAGCCATTAATTAGTAAAAATAATAAATAAATATAGTAGTAAATAAAAAATGTTTTAAGTCCCCTTTAGATTGTTATACTTTATTTCCATTATTCTACCTTGGTAACAACTTTCGGTGTCTGAATTGTTTTACTCCCTACCAAAAACAACAATAATAATCACAACATAAATCTGAGTTCTCGAGCCTCTTTCCCGAGAAGTGACCATCTCAGAACAGCATTCCACTCAGACATGAAAATTTGAGAGGCAAACAAATCTGTCCCCTAAGCAAACCCACGCAAGCTGCTTGGGGATCCAATGGCAGGGATCTGGATGGAATGGAGAATGGACCTAGAGCCATAAGCCCGGACTTACAGCTACAAATCAGCAGAGGAAGAGGGACCAAGACCAACTCACCCCGGGTGGCTTTCCCTCGCTGGCTAATCCAAATGGCAGAGGAACTTTCAAGGCCTTCGTAAACTCGGCAACTGGTAAGTTTAATTTATGTTTTTGCTTAGCCAACAGAGAGAGAAAAGCAGAACTTTTGCTGCCCCTCCAGCTATTGTTCTAATGCACTGACCCGTATTCTTAGAGATGTCTGCATAAACAATTTGTATCTTGCGGATGCTTCCATGCACTTTCACTTCGGTCTGCCGGGCAGCGATGACAATTGTGATAAATTGTATGACCGATCAGAATCAGAGGGGGTGGTCTATATGCGATATAGCCGACGAACTGTTGCGCCCACTCTGGATAAATACACACAAAACACTCGCGATTCCCGCACTTTATATATAGAGGTATATACTGACCACTACAAACGAAACCGCAGTGTGTTATTGTGTCATTAATTTCTCCTCTTTCTTTGTAGAATCCCACTTTTTTTTATATCATATAGCTGCTCTTTTGGCGCTTAAAGTGCGAAAACTGACTGGAATTAATTGATGATCCGCACGCAACTGGAGTGGTGATGCGAATTCGTTAATGAGCCAGCGTGACGCGTCCACATTTCCATATGATTTACTTGGGGGTCCGAATTTTTCAAATTTTCCGCAACTCACTTTTCAGTTTTGTTGTTTTGCCCGCTTTGCACTTGAATTTACTTTCCGCTTTCGGCTGTTATTGCTGCTCGTAATCCGCTTTTGCCCTAAATTTCAATTCCTTTTTTCGCACTGCAGATTTTTCGGATTGCTTCCGTTCTTTTTTTCCAGTTCTTTTCGAGTGTTTTGATAACTGAAGTGTATTATGATTTTCTTTTTTTTCCGGCTCGTTGTCTTATTTTTTTTCTTGATTTTTGTGAGTGGGCGGAAGGGGCGCGGCACACGCAATCCTGAGGGATGCGCAGCACTTTCGAGAGTCACGCACCGCCTACCCTTTGTTTTTACCCTTAATTAGCCACATAAATTGCAAGTTGGCCGGGAAGAAAAAATTGAAAACACTTTGGCTAGAAGAAGTAGAGATCTTTGCAGAGTTTTGCTGCCGCTTCCGCAGGAATTTGATAGATATTTTTATAGAATTTTATAGAGCAGCACCCGCACGACGAACCAAACGCTGGGAGCCACGGATAAGAACTAAACAACAATCGCAGCTGCCGCTGCTCGCCTTCTCGGCTGCTGCTGCTGCATGTTGTTGCTGCTGCTGGTGTTGCTGCGGGGTAGCAACACATGCCGCATATCATTCACGCTTTTTCACTTCGGAGACCGAACTTCGTAACCCCTAGTCACGAGTCTCGCTCGCTCTCTCTAATTTTCCACTCTCTCGTGTCGCATGTTGCGTGTTGCTCGTGTGCCGCACGGCAGCAACATTGCTTCGAAGACGTGACCTTTGGCAACTGGTCGAGTGTTGTTTTGCCCGCGCTTGAAGCCAATTAATGGGCCACTCCACTTCCACCAGCCATGTGATTTATTGGCACCTCTCATAAATCCCAGCCCGATTTGGCCGTTTTGCTTGCGGGATAAACAAAAAACACATGCATAATTTCCATAAATCTTTTATGGCTGCGTGTAAAAAGTTTGGGGCTCTCGGCTTTTGGCCAATTATGCGCCCCGAACTAGGCACTAATTTGACAGCAAAGTGGCCAAAAAGGCTTTATCCCTCCTCTGGGGTCACCCTAGGTCAACTCAACTTAACTTGGGGCTCTCGGCACTCGATTCGTGTCCATAACTAACCCCATAATTGAGTTATCCCCCTGAACGAGCTTTTGTTGTCGTCGTCCTGGCGAAGGATTATCAATGGCCTGTGAGCATTTACTACACTGCCTGCTGATTACGTTCTTCGAATTGCTTCATTTTGGCCCTGCTATACGACAGTTTGTAAGCTGTGCGGGGGTACAAATGCATTTTCATTAATCCATCATTGGCAAATTGGGAACGTGTTGGATTCGTAGGCTATCGAGGTATCACAGTCTAGTTTTGAGTGATATTTAATAAGCATACTGCATAAATCGTAGAAATAATTTAGTAAGATAGATAAGTAAGTATCTTACTTATTACTTATTAAATTGATTTCAAAGTATTTAGTATTTTAAAAATATTTTATCTACTATTTTAAATAGTGCATATTAATGACTTAACATGACGCTTTCACTAAAATAATATAATTACACCTTCATAAATAAGATTTATTTCTTCTTTTATTTTTAAAATATATATTTTTTATATATTTTCTTTTTTTGTTGCGGAACATTTATGTTTCTGCGACATGTTTCGCTTAAACATGTTGTTAGTAAAAATAAACATATCTTTGCAACATAAGTCCAGTGATTGTAAAACTTTATGAGCATTGATTAATTTTAATTCACATGAAATACGAATTATATATAATTCTATCTGAAAATGATTTAAAAAAAATGAACAAAAAGCATTTAAATTTTAAATTGTGCTGCGCAGAAAGTTTAAAATTAGAAATGGTATGTTAATTTTTTGTGTTTTTAATGTGCTTTAAATATATTAAATTTTAAATTGCTTTTCAAGGCATATTTCTCTTCCCTATACTCACAATATGTTACACATATTTTCTAACTGAATGTGAATGCTGCTGCCGCTGGTCATAGCTATAAAAATATTCGCTGTTGTTAAATGGGAGCAGATTGTCACATGGTAATGCAGTTGCAGTGGCAGCGGCAGTTCCAGTTGGCAAGCTGTTGCACCTCTAAGCCATCCAGGGCACTTCGATGGCAGCAGCAGTAGCGGCACGGCCTCCACTTTTCCTGGGGCATTAGCCTTTTATGCCCCGCTGTTGCAGTTGCTGTTGCAGCTGCTCGCCCGCGGCAACCTTCACACCTATGCACATCACATCACATCACATGGCGCATTCGCATTGTATGGCCACTTCCACTTGAGCGCCGCAGAAGTAGGAGGAAAAGAAATGGAAAGGAGAAAAGCGCAAATAGGATCAAGGATAACAAGGGCATAACAAATGCCATGCAGCCGAGTGCCAAGGGGGCATTGCAAATGCTTTTAAAGCAATACTTGATGCCGGCTGATTGAGTGCCAAATGGGCTTACCACCCAAAGCGGGAGTTTTCAGTGGGCCACAGCGGCTAATTGGGGCGTGGCCTCATCCTAAATCCTTCTTCAACACACTACAAATGTTAATTATACTTTAAAACCAAGAGTTTTTGATGATCTGAAAAAAAATATTTATTTTATTAAATACCCATTTGAACAAAAGCTCTTTAACTTACTAAAGCCTTTATCTATTTTATATATTTCTCTTTTTACTGCCACCAAATGAGCCACGCAGCTTACCCAAATTAAATTTCAGCTAATTAATCATCATTTAAGATATTTCTTTTCGGTGTGGCTATGACATTTGTGCATTTGTCTTGATGTTGCAGTGGAAATTTGTTTGTCGGGTGAAAAAACTTTGCTTATTTCATTTTAATTGCTTCGCAGTCGCAGGACTCGGCTCACACACACAGAGAAAGGGAGAGAAAAACACACACACACAGACACACAGTAAAATGCGGTTGTGTGGCAACCTTTTGTGGGTGTGTGTGCTCATTAAAAAGCGAGGCAGCTACGCAGAAAAGCGACATTTGCATAAAATGCCACTGTGTGTGTGTCCCAAAAGCTGAAAAAGCGTGCCACTGACACACAACTGTCACTCACACGCACTCAAATATGAACAGGACTCCCTTACACACAGACAAAGCCAAGTCAAAACTTGCAAATTTTAATGCATCACAAGATTTCAACAACTTCCTATGTCTCACAATCCGAAAAATCATCACCAGCAGGCTAGCAGCCTCGCAGCTTGACGCTGGGAAATAAAGAAAATCTCCAGCTGTCATGTCACGTGCCTCCTCCGTAGGAAAACTCAACCCACCCACCTACCCACTAACCATTTTCCAACCCACCCACTTGGCTGGAATCTCAGAGGCTGAGGGCTCATTAAAAGTGGCTGCCGTTTTGGCCCCGGGGCAGCCTGCCTTTTGCTTTTGCCGGTCTAATGAAGTTTCTCATAAACGGGGGGCCAGGACCCCTCAACTTCCGGCTGATAGGGCGGCACTACTACTACTGCCGTTAAATTGTCGTTTCCTTTTTTACGCACCAAAACTGCGTAAATGATTGACAGCTGGACATTGTGGCTGAGTGAATAACTCACAGAAAGACAGGCCGACTGGTCGCCTGATTTATGTGGGCGTGCCCCCGACAGCCGTGCTTTGGCTTTGGCGCTCAATTAAAGAGGAACCCAAGTCAAAAGTCACCGAAAGACAATAGAGCAGCCCATCGCAAACCCACCAGAAACCATCGATGGATTAACACATCTCCCGGGGCAACATCTCCTCCCAGGCGACAACCCTCATGGGCAAGGTCTTCGGCTTGAAGGCTGGGCTGTCATATAAATCAACCATAATCAACGCGAAATGCGGCTTGACTTTCTATAGATGGACTGCGATACAAGATTTTCCGATAAGCTACACTTGGGGAAAGGGGTTCCCTTGGCCATTTCTTATTTTCTCAAAATACCTTTAAAGATCTCGTTAAATTGCTTGGTATTATATTTTATAAATACTTATTTAAATTGATAAGCATTTTTCTAGCATTATTTTTATTTTTTAGAATATTTAAAAGATTACGTTACATTTCAAATGTATTCCGAATTTACTTTTATATTAATTATTTGGTATTATAAGAACTATTTTCAACTGATAAACTGTTCCTATCATTATTTTTATTATTTCTAATTTTTTAAATTTTGGTTTAAATTTATTTGGTTTTAATTTTATTTCTAGTACTTTAAAGTTTTTAAATAAATTCATTCCGAATTTACTTTCATGTTTATAATAATTTTTTGGGTGTTTATTTATTTTAAAATAAATATTGCATTAAATGTAATTTATTTTTTAATGACTAAATAATACTATCCCTTTATTTCTCCCTGTGTACGAGCGGGTAAACGTGTTTCGCGGGGCGCATAAATCTAAATTACACTGCAGCACCAAGGGGATTGTGGCTCTGGACCACAAGTATGAGGGAAAGTCGGCTCAAGATCCGAATCTCCCCCGAAATGATAGATAGAAAGTGAGAGGAAATTGCCGGCACTCGTTGGCATTGTTTGTTTGTTTGTTTGCTTGTTCGAAATGTTTTCTAATCGGCCAAGGAGTCGTTCACACTCACATTCACACCTCCCCGCATGAGGGTTCCTTAATTGCAAGTTATTGATGAGGATGGGTTCCCCCTCCCCACAACTACTAAACATTCAATTTTCAGGAGAACAACACCTTGGGCAGAGTGTGGGAAAAGAAATCCGTAATATGAACTGTCAGCAAAATGAACCTTATGAAAAGTCATTGACAGGAGCAGCACAACAACAGCAAACAGCAGACACAACTGGGTTATCCTGGGCCCAGGTCCTTCAATAGGTGCGTGTGGGCGTGTCGACGGCAAAAAGTGAGATGCAAAGGATGGAAAAAAAGGGAGAAGCGGAGAAAGGGACAAGTGGCGAGAAACAGACAGAGAAAGGTAGACAGAATCTCATTTGCGGTCATGTTGGCGTGTCAAAAGCGGACAACAATGACAACCTCAGGAGCAGAAACCAGAGCGGCAACGGCAACAACAAGGTTGTCAGGCACTTCCAGACCTCTAGACCATATGGCAACCATTTGCCTGCACATTATAAAAAAAGGAGGAAGCTAAGCGGAAATATTGAGAGCTCAGGCCAGGGGGATCAATGAACTCGATATACCCTACCCTCACCCCAGCAACCGCCGATGATGCCTTTCAATTTAGAGATACTTATCTACCTAAATACTGTGCGTATATAATGAGATCAATGATTGGTGCTAGCCTTTTCTAACAAGCCTGCAGATCAAGGCATTAATATTACTATTTATTTATTAGATGATATCTTTAAGTATACAGTAAAACCAATCTTTTCATTAACCCAGAAAATTAAAAAAAAAACATTTTAATATACCTACAGGGAATTATATTTAATCAATAAAAAATATAAAATTTTAATTACCAAACTTTCATTAAAAAAATATTTTAACAAAAGTTAAAGTAATCGAACCACTTATTAATAATTTATGAGCAAATAATGCATTTCCCGCTAGGTGGCGCTTGCATATTTCCATCTCTCTCACACTCATTTAGCTGAGTAACGACTATTTAATAGTCGTGCATTCAACTATAGCATTTAATTATTATTTTAACGTTTTTATAAAACTTCGCTAATGAAGTTTAAAATATCATATTTTTTAATTTCATTTCATATTTCTTATTTAATCTCTAAAAAATAGTGACTTATTAATTTTTCCACTGCAGTAGGTAGCATTTCATTATTGTGTCCGCCGGTCAGGGTATTTTTTACTCAACGCCATATTGATTTTATAATTTTCAATGTGTTCATAATTAGCCACACCCATTGGACAGCCGAACCTCTTTTCGAACCCCGCCCTCCGGTGATTCCATATCAGTGCTGCCATTTTGTCCTCTTTCCGGACAGATCTGTCCTTTTTTTAACGGCTTTATCCGGAAAAAATTTCAAACATCCCCTATCCGGAAATCTATCCTTTTTTCAAAAAAAAAGGTTTTGAGTGTTATTTTTGCTAGTCGAAAGTGTATAAACCTGTTTTTATTTGCTAAAATGCCTTTTTAACCATCATTCTTACAGTTTGGCACTTAAAAAATAATTCTTTTTACAAATTATCAAAGAGACGTAAAGCAGTCGATGGATTTTCTTTATAGTACGATTTTTTCTGTAGCAAAAAAAAGAGGAAAGCACTTTTAAAATTTCTTAATTTTTACTCTCTGCTTTTTTGTCAGAAAAAAAATTCAGATTTGAACGACTCTTTTTCGGGTTTGACGCAGATATTTAATTTTTTTGTATTACGAATATAGTTACTTGAAATGCATTAATTATTATAATAATTTTAGATTATTACGTATACGCACAAAAATTTACCATGGTAAAATGATCAAACAAAGAAGGTTGTGAGTCGGGCGCAGTAGATCATTACATAATTAAATTTTATTTAAAATCCATTTATATTAAGTAAATATATAACCCATTGGTAAAAACAGAAAAATGTAGGCACATTTACTTTTGTCCTTTTTTTTGTCCTTTTCTTAAATTTTTTGTCCTTTTTTTCCCTGTTTTTTGTGGCTTATCTGTCCTGTTTTTCAAGCTGAGTGATGGCAGCACTGTTCCATATCCCTCTCAAATGTCACAAACATGCCGTTTCGTCCATTCAAATTCGAGTCTTTTCGAGGCCGACGATTGGATGCCAAATCGAGCTCATCCGTAGCTCGTCGATGTATCCGTCGCTGTTAGCGGGTGGCGTCTGTATCTGCGGCTGCCATCGAGTGTGTCTGAGTGCCCGACAGCGTCCTTTTCGTCCTTTCTGGTCCTTTGTGCCGCTGCCATGCTGTTCGTAATTATAAATGTCAATGCCAATTGTGCGACCTTTCCTTTCCCCCCCGATAATTTCACACTTTTCAAATGGAAAACCAAATGAGTGAGTGACTCTGCGTGTGTGTTGGTGTGTGTGATGCTCATTAGCCGCAAAACGCTCGCAATGCAGTTGGCTAATTGAAAACGCGCGCCTAATTACCGATAATTGATCAGCTTAGGAATGGAGTTGGTTGCACCAGAACAGCTGGCTGATGGCCAAATGGATGGAGAGTAACTTCCATTGGCTACTGACCTTTCACCCTGCGTGTCCTGTCGGCCCATTAGCGTCCTGCCTTCCCCTCGTCCTTTTCGTCCTTCTGGGCCTTTGTCAAGCAGAACAACAACAACAATGCCGGAACGACTGCGACCCTTCCCTGCCAGCATTTTCAAGTGTTTATTCCTGGACACTTCAGGTCCTCTCGCCTCCCACTCTCCCTATATAAAGTGTACAATGCGAGGTGTGAAGTTTGTTTATGGTCAAGTGGTTTTACTTTTCTTTTTTCGCTTTTTTCGTTTAGTGTTTGTTTGTTTGTTATTTTTCTCCCTGCCCCACGGCACGAGGCACGTTGAGCAGCAGGCTCGCCAGTTGTTTGCAGGACACTAATGACCACTCGGATCTTATCTGACACTGCTTGTTGATCTTGGCCTGGTCCAAGCCGCCTCTGGGCCACGCCCTCGCCATTTTCCAGGGTCTACTCCCCTGTTTTCCCCTGCAAACATTTGCATTTTAAAGTGCGCAATTGCTGTCCGCGAATAGTTTTGCATACGCTGGCCATAAATAAAAGTTTGGGGCTCTGGTGGGTGTGTGTTACGGTTTGGCAGGATCCAAAGTTGCAATGAAATTTCGTGGTGTGGCTTACAAAAAACCAGAAACCAAGCAACAGTGCAGGAAATCTCCTCAAGCAATAAGCTTAATTAAATATAAAAAAAACTCTGAGAAACATATTTTTCCTATCCTTAAACCTCATTTATTTCCGTAATCTAATCGTAACTTTTTTGTAAATAATTACCCCATGAATTTTAAATATTTTGTTTATAAAACCACAAGATACTCTGCTTCATCTAAATAAATTGTGCTTGTATTAGGGCAAATCAAAAAGTAAACAATGAGCTCACAAGGGCTTTTACAAATTTGTTCTTACATTTTTAAACAAATTAAAGAAATTAATCTCCTCTTTACTGGATAGTGAAGCATGAGCTGTGGACCCATGTGCTTCCGATGCCACAACAATTTCGAAATTCCTGAAAAACTTTATATGCTTCGGACTGCTGCTCGCTCAGCGAAACTGCTGAAAAATAACTGAAACACTGTCAGCGCAAACAGCAACAACAAAATCAACTATCCAGATCTGCACAAAAAGTTACACCCCACAAAAAAAACCAAAAAAATAGTCAAGCCGGAAAAGCTGGCAAAACGCACTTTATTACGACGAAATGTTTCAAACATTTTGAAGTGAGTGGACTTAATTCGTGTACACAACACAGTCGTCCGTCGGCTGGCTATTTCTATTCGTACTCCTCTAAAGGACTAAGGACTACCACTGCCACGCCCGCTTGAATTCTGGGAGATGGCACACGACTGAAAAAAAAGAGTGGGAGTGCATTTCCCAGCCAGGGAATTTCGATTGGCAACATTTTTGCGTACCTTTCCCAGCTGCCTGGCAATTTTGTATGTGCGTGAGTACACTGGGAAACAAAACAAAAAGTTAGAAATCAAATAAGGTATTATAAGAAACAGATGGGCTTTTATTATGTTAGTTTCTGAGGGGGGAGGATTTCAGAAAAACTTTTTTGTTGCATACCATATTTTCATTCATGGGTTTTCCCCATACTTTTGTAATATGACCTCTCATATATTTAGCTTATTAAAAAATTTGATTTTCTATGGATTTGAATTATATATTTTAACATCCTAACTTTTTCATTATTATTTATTCACAATATTCT